TTTTTTTTTTTTTTTTTTTTTTTTTTTTTTTTTTTTTTTTTCAATTTACTCTTAGTCTGCCCTTGTTTTAATTAAGTGCAAATAGCCTCAGTCATATAAATAATATTGGTGTGCATGTTTGCATATGTTTTGGCCCATTTGTCACCAGTTAATACGTGTTATTTTTAAAATTATTATATTATTTTTATTTAATTTTTTTATTTTCCCACTGAACTTTTTTGGTCTTAAATCATAAAAGAATCATAAAAGCAGCAAATATTCAGCACTACAATCAACTTGAGGGATGGGAAGAAAAATAGACACTTTTATTTCACCACTACAGACGGGTAGACAGACAGACGGACATATGGATGCCAGGTTAAGCAATTGACAGTGCAAAACATTACAAACAAGAGTTCAGAATGAGGATACAGATGCTTTGTGCTGTAAAGAGAATGAAAATAGTTTTTTTTTAAGCAGGAAGCTTCATGGAGAGAAAGAGTTATTATTATTATTATTATTATTATTATTTTATTTTTATTATTATTATCAATTTTGTCATTCTTAACTTCTCTGATTCATCAGTTTGTTCAAGCCTTTGAAATAGGCTGGTGTTGTTCCTCCAGCTAGATATGCCAAAAAGTATGAAAACAGGGGTCTCAGATCAATTGTCACGATTATGTTCTGTTTAGTTCCTGTCTGTCATTATTTGGTTAATTTGCTGTGTTCAATTAATTAATCACCTTCATTTGTTCCCACCTGTGTCATATTAATCATCTTGTTTGCTCCTTAGTTTGCCTTCCTTAAAAACCCTCAGTTTCCATGTCATCTTGGTCTCGTATTAACGTTGCTTTAATGGTGTAGTGTGTTTATGTTTATTAAAAGACTCCTTACTTCTACTCCTTCATCGTGTGCCCTTGACTAAAACTATATATATATATATATATATATATGCAGATTAAGAGTGGTGACTGGGCATTTCAGACTAACTGTATTGCTGCACAACCAGATTGGAGAACTCTGTCAGTTAAAAATATTATGATTTATTTATACAAAGAACTGCTTGATGCTGTTTTTGTTGTTGTTGCAGAAGTGTTTTCACTTGGCTAGGTTCGGAAAAGATATGAGTGATAAAAGCTTGAGTTGTAATCATGTGTATTATATTGTAGCAAGAAAAAAATGTCTAACAAGCACAATAACATCTTTTTCACAGGGACAGTTTTTGTAGTTTACAACACTATGTTCACAAGTCCTGAGGGTACTACTAAAGACTATCTGCACTTTCTTTGTTGACCATAGAGTTTGAAGGGGTTAGCTGTTTGGATTTTCAGGATATCAATAACCAGTTTGCATTGTGATATCAAAATCTAAAGAAACCTAAATAAACTGATTTTAGTGGGCAGTTAGTATGATTTGTATGTTGTTGTTGATCTGCAATTGTCCATATTTAATTTAATTATTTGTTCAAATTTATATATTATCCAAAAAAAAAAATCACCCCTGAATATTGTCACGATTATGTTCAGTTTTGTTCAGTTCCTGTCATGTCTGTTATGAGCTCTCATTAGTTACCATGGTTTCTGATTAGTTAATCCTTGTCCAGCTGTTCCTGTTTAGTTCCCTCATTTACCATGTGTGTACTTATAGTCCTGATTCTGTTCCATCCTTTGTCGGTTATTATATTGTGCTATGTGTTGTTCTACACCCGTGTTCTCAGTAAAGTCTTCTTTGAAGTTTGAATCTCATGCCTGCATTCCTCGTTCCTCAACAACTCGTGACAGAATAACCGACCACATAAAAACAAACAGAAAATATGGACTCACCAGCGTTACGTCTCCTCCTCAGACCAGAAAGCCGAAGGTGGCTGGAATATTTGGGCTGGATGCTCCAGAATGGCGGCCTCTCCCTCAAAGTCAGCGAGCCCGAGACACCAACAGGGCTCATCCAGGAACCAGAGCCGGAGTCCACCAAAGTCGAGGAGACTAAGCACGCTGATCAGTCCACTGTAAAGCCAGGAGCAGACATGAAACTCATAGATCTGTGGTCCAGTTCCCACCCAAGTACCCACCCTCAAACCTTTGTCTTCTTCGCCGGTCCCATACGGATTGTTAGAGGCTCCGGTCCCGTCCGGAAATCTTCCTCCTCCGATGTCCCTATCAGATTTCCTGGTCCGATCTCCTCCGCTGGTTTCAGCCAGTCCCCAGGATTCGTCGGCCCCACTGGTGTCGTCCAGCTCCTCGGCTCTGCCTCCGCCGCTAGCTCAGTGCGGCTCAGCAGCCTCGCCTCAGGCTTCCCCTCCACCAGCTCGGTATGGCGCCGAGTCCCCGGCTGCCCTTCGGCCCTCCAGGCCCATGTCTCCACCTTGGCCTGTCAGCCCGCCGACTCCACTCTGGCTCTGCATTCCTTCGGCTCCACCGAGGCCTGTCTGCCCTAGGATTCCTCTGGGCTCCCTCGTACATCCGGACAAACCTCGGTCGGTCGTCGCTTAGCTTCCGCCACGGACTTCCGGGTCTCCGGCTGCGCCTCGACCCTCCACCCCTTCGGCTTCACCGGGCTCCTCCCTTCCTCTGGTTTCCCTGTCGTCCTCGCTCGCTCCATTGTCGCCCTGGTCAGCTGAATCCCCGGCTCCGCCTCAGTCACGCGAGCCAGCCGCTCCACCTTGGGCTTCCAGGCCTTCGATGTCGCCCTGGTCCGTCAGCCTCTCTGCTCCGCCGGTTCCTCCACGTACCCTGGTTCCACCTCCGGGGATTGGCTTCTGGGTGTCGCCCAGTCCTTCAGCCAAAGCTCCACCCTGGTTCCTCCCACCGTCGGCTCCACCATGGTGTTGGTCTCCTCCGATTTCTCCAGGTGTCCTTCATCAGCACCACGACCTCCACCTAATCCTCCGCCCTCTTGCCTCTTTTCTATTATCTTCTGTTGTGGCGTTAGGTCACGCCTTCCGAGAGGGGGAGCTACTGTCACGATTATGTTCTGTTTAGTTCCTATCTGTCAATATTTGTTTCATTTGCTGTGTTCAATTAGTTAATCACCTTCATTTGTTCCCACCTGTCCAGATGTTCCTGTTTAATTCCCTCATTTACCATGTGTGTACTTATAGTCCTGATTCTGTTCTATCCTTTGTCGGTTATTAGCTTATGTTATGCGTTGTACCAAATCAGTATTCTCAGTAAAGTCTGTTTGGAAGTATGCATCTTCGTTTGCTGTCCTCATTCCTCGACAACCCGTAACAGAATAACCGACTGCAAAAAAAATGGACTCACCAGCGTTACGTCTCCTCCTCAGACCAGAAAGCTGAAGGTGGCTGGAGTATTTGGGCTGGATGCTCCAGAATGGCGGCCTCTCCCTCACAGTCAGCGAGCCCGAGACACCAATAGGGCTCATCCAGGAACCAGAGCCGGAGTCCACCAAAGCCGCGGAGACTAAGCACGCTGATCAGTCCACCGTAAAGCCAGGAGCGGACATGAACCTCATAGATCTGTGGTCCGCAGATCCAGTTCACACACAAGTACCCACCCTCAAAACGTTGTCTTCTTCGCTGGTCCCATCCGGATTGTTAGAGGCTCCGGTCCCTTCCGGAGATCTTCCTCCTCCAATGTCCCTGCCAGATTTCCTGGTCCCATCTCCTCCACTGGTTTCAGCCAGTCCCCTGGATTCATTGGCCCCACTGGTGTCGTCCAGCTCCTCGGCTCTGCCTCCGCCACTAGCTCCGTGCGGCTCCTCAGCCTCGCCTCAGCCTTCCCCTCCACCAGCTCGGTATTGCGCCGAATCCCCAGCTCCGCCTCAGTCACGCGAGCCAGCCGCTCCACCTTGGGCTTCCAGGCCTTCGATGTCGCCCTGGTCCGTCAGCCTCTCTGCTTCGCCGGTTCCTCCACGTACCCTGGTTCCGCCTCCGGGGATTGGCTTCTGGGTGTCGCCCAGTCCTTCAGCCAAAGCTCCACCCTGGTTCCTCCCACCGTCGGCTCCACCATGGTGTTGGTCTCCTCCGATTTCTCCAGGTGTCCTTCATCAGCACCACGACCTCCACCTAATCCTCCGCCCTCTTGCCTCTTTTCTATTATCTTCTGTTGTGGCGTTAGGTCACGCCTTCCGAGAGGGGGAGCTACTGTCACGATTATGTTCTGTTTAGTTCCTATCTGTCAATATTTGTTTCATTTGCTGTGTTCAATTAGTTAATCACCTTCATTTGTTCCCACCTGTGTCATATTAATCATCTCATTTGCTCCTTAGTTTGCCTTCCTTAAATACCCTCAGTTTCCATGTAATCTTGGTCTCGTATTAATGTTGCTTTAATGGTGTAGTGTGTTTATGTTTATTAAAAGACTCCTTACTTCTACTCCTTCATCGTGTGCCCTTGACTAAAACCACGCACCGTGACACCAATAGTGGCTAATTTTCTGTTTTGTATTTATATATATACAATACAGATATATTGCTCTCAGCCAGAATTGTTTTAAAATATATATATATATATATATATTATGGCATTTTCATCTTTATTTTGATAGGACACTAGAGACAGAAACAATGTGAGAGAAGAGAGGGGAACCAAACAGAGAAAAGTATCTTTCTATCTAAATGTATGTCTGTTGATATTGTCGAGTTTATATGCAGATGTACTGTAGATCTATGTGTTTCTAATTCACGTCATGCTAAAAAGAGACAAAAGTTCAACTCAGCTAAAAAATCTGGACTAATTCAGATTTCAGATTTTAAAGTGTTTTTGAAAGAATGATTTCTGAAGGATCATGTGACACTGAAGACTAAAAATTCAGCTGTGCATTACAGAAATATATATATTTTTTAATTATTTAAATTGAAAAGGTTTTTTATCAAAATAATAATTCACAATATTGCTGTTTTCATTGCATTTTTGATCAAACAAATGCAGCCTTGGTAAGCAGAAGAGCAAAAGCATTAAATTAATGAAATGATTCCAACCATTTGCTCACCAGTGTATGTATATTTTACTTCTCTTCAACGCACAGAGTTTACCAAAAATAAATTGCAATGGCTTAATAAACTGCAAGTACATATAGCATTTATATTAAAAGACAAATGTCTGGCTATGTGAGTCTAGGTCACATTAGATAACAACATTAAATGTTCAGTCTGTATAAGGTGACACCAATCAGTCATGTTTGTTCTGTGCAAGATACATCTCTGTGACAGTGATAAAACTCTTGACATAGTAGTGCTCTTCTGTGCAAATTCATTGCCATGAACATATTTTTGAGAAATACCAAAGACTTTAATTTTCAGATATTCTGCAGACTGCAGATCCCCTGCTGTGATAATGTGTGCATTGCCTTTTAGTAAGATGTGCTGCATTGGTTCGTTTAAATATGCTCTCATTGGAGTTGAGGTGTATATGTGTGTAGTGCACAGTGTCTTTGTGTGGACATTTCTTGTGTCCTTTCAGCAGAACAGTTGAGTCCCTCTGCTCGGGCGATTGCTCATACAGAAACATGTTTCCCTCAGCATGTTTTGCCCTTTGGCTTGCATTCATGATTAATAGATAATTCCCCTTGTTCCCGTCTCCAAAACACCAGGCTCACCCTCTGTATAAGGTGGCTAATACTAACAGTGACAAATGGAAAAGGACACATATTAGCTTACTCTATGGGCTACACATCACCTTCCCAGTAATGGCTTCAACCTCCTGGTGATCATACTCCTCTATTAGGACAAGAGTAAAATTGATAGTTTGTTTTAAATGCAGTAATGCTTCAATCCTGTGAGTTGATGCTAACTTATTGCCTCCTTTTTTTCTTATGCAAATGATTGGTAGATCCTGGCAGTCATAACTTGTATGACACCTACAGGGAATATTTGACAGGAAATTTATTTGATTCAAACACTCTAAAAAATTTTGGGTTAAAAACAACCTATAGCGCTGGGTAAAATATGGACAAACCCAGCGATTGGGTTGTTTTCAACCAACAGTTGGATTAAATGTTTAACCCAACCTTCTGGGCATTAACCCAACCGCTGGGTCAAAACAACCCAGTCGCTGGGTTGTATTTAACCCAGTGTTTTTTAGAGTGTAGACTGTAGATTGTAAGATATTTTTCCAGCCTCTTTCTGTTTGAGATAACTAGGCCACTACAACATGTTTCAACATACAAAATATGTTTCACAGCTTTCTAATCTTAACTGACACATTAATCTCCTCTCCTCATCGAATGAAACTCCTTACACGTCCTAAAACAAGTGTCTCGTTCCCTACTCAGGGAACCATGGTTACATAAGTAACCTGAGACGTTTTTCATGTCCGCGTGTTGAAAAACGACCTCATTAACCTGATATTTAGCCCCTGGAATGCGAATTTTACCAGGGAAACCCCCTGCCAAAACACGCGTATTTTATCCACGGAACGCGATTTTTAACGGGGGACTTCCTCGAAACGCGATTGGGTGGGTTTTGCTGTGAAAACCTGACAACCTCTTCATAAAAGCAGTGGCGACCTCCTAACTCTAATATAATGAGCATTAGAATGAAGTGTCATTATTAACTATTTAATGCTCCTATAACTTGTATTACTGTAAAAAAACAGGAGGACATAATGGTATTTACTATTTTTGCACACCAGAGGCTTTTAAATTATTTGTTTTTTAAAATTAAATTTTTTTTTTAATTTTTGTTAGTTAGTTAGTTGTAATTCTTGGCTGAATCAGACTGAGGAAGATCCTGAAACACACCAGCAAACCCTAAAACAGACAACAGTTTACAGATGTTTTTCAGTGGCAGCAGAACTATGACTAAACCTTTGGGTGAAACTTGTTTACTTTTTTCATACTAATATTACCTGTGGAAAAACTTGAAACACTTTTAAATAAGTATAAAGAATGGCATTGGTTTTGTACATTTAATTTTTGTTTAACGTTATTAATAAAAATGTTGTTCAATTAGCATGTTTTTGTGTTTTGCTTTGGTACCGAAATTGGTACCGAGAACCGTGGATTTTCACTGGTATTGGTACCGAATACTGAAATTTTGGTACCGTGACAACACTACCGTGAGTGGATGTGTCTGACTGAGATAAGTTGTTTGCATCAGAGCAGCAAAACATTAAAACACAAGTTATGCCAGATATGGCTTGGATATATTAAAAGAGAACATCTTGGGTTACTTGACTGTAACCCTGTTCCCTGAAAAAGTGGAAACAAGATGCTGCGTTGCAATAACGCTTATGGGAACATTCTTTGTTCGACTGGTCGTGAAGCATGTGTGTCAAACATGCCAAGAATTATCTTAAATAAGCTTGGTCAGTGACGTCATTGAATGCGTGCACCTGAGAGCTTATGAATAGATGAGAAACAGACACAACTTCAGGTTATACCTTTGCCTGAAGGGACTCCCTATTATAAACTGCTCTCGATGCTGCATGTCAATAATGCTTATTGGAATGAGAATACCAACGTCACCGCACTGGAAGTGTCTGGACCCCTCAAGGTTGTGTACTGTGTATGCACAAACATTGAAGCAGTCTCAGACATGACTCTGGGATGTTGACTCAAGGACATGTGAGCCTGGAGTAGCATGAGCATCCAAACTATAGAATCTGATAAATGTGTGCAGGGAGCACCAGCCTGCCACATCACACACTTTCTGCAAGTGGACACCTCTTGCTTGAGCCTTAAGGGTAAGTTCACCCAAAAATGAAAATTAGACTGTGTTTTACTCACCCTCGAAGCATCCTAGGTGTATATGACTTTCTTCTTTCAGATGAATCCAGTTGGAGTTATATTAAAAATTGTCCTGGTTATTCCAAGCTCTATCATTGCAGTCAGTGGGTGTTACAGTTGAACAGTCCACAAATCATCAAATAAAGCGCGCGCATTCATAATAAACTGGCCTCACACCGCTCCGGGGGGTGAATAACGGCCTCCTGTAGTGAATCCATGCGTTTTTGTAAGAAAAATATCCATATTTCAAACGTAATAAACACTTTTCTCTCACTTCCGTTATCTGTCATACGCGGAAGCCGTTCTGGCGGATGACGTAGGACGTCGGCATTGCGTGATTAGTGACGAACACGGAGAGAGAACAAAACGCCGGTCATGAATTAGAAGTACAAACCGAGCATTTGCAAAGAAAAATGTCAGAGGATTTCGATATAAACCAAGAGGAGACTGGTTTTCCTTTGCTAAAGTAAGGAAACTTTACTTCCTTTGCTCCTATAAGCAAACTCGCGAGACTAGCATATCTCAGAGGCGTGCGTGCTGCGCATACGTGCTGCGTTATCCGCCGGAATGGCTTCCACTTATGACAGATAACGGAAAATGTTTATTACATTTGAAATATGGATATTTTTCTTACAAAAATGCATGGATTCACTTCAGGAGGCCTTTATTCTTGCTCTGGTGTTGTGAATGGTGGAGGGAAGAGAATGGAAATTTAGGAAAATAATTAGGGTGAGGATGCAAAATAGCTTTGACCAGCCCAGGGACAAAGTCTAAACAGGATGGTGAGGCTGACAGAGCCTTCAAAACCCCAATTCTCTTCACAGAATGTTGATAGGGAACAGTAAAGGAATTGAAACTAGTGCAGTGTGGATGCTAGGGCTGGGCTGACAATATAGAGTCATGGGTAGCACTTTAATTTGGGGACTAATTCTTACTATAAACTAGTTGCTTATCACTTTCTAAGCAAGTACTCTACTGTAATATACAAACCTCCATATGTATTTTGGTATTATACAATATTGTATACAGTACTACATGACAAGCCCAACCTTTGGCGGTCTCAAAATCAAATAAGATCAAATTTGCTTTGGCTTTAAGTTTATGTCTCTTAGCTTTCAGGCCATCCATATAAGTATGCTGACAAGTTGACAATTGTTAAGCAGTATATTAAAATACTCTCTAGAATGAAAAATACCCTAAAATACCATGTCCTACAAATTGGTAATACCATGTAGCTTTTGTAAACTAAAAGCTATTTGCTATTTCAAAACAGGATTCTTATAATGTCTGACTTCAGGGCATCAAAAATCAGATAGTATTTCCGAAGCTCATATTACTAGTGCATTTCTGTACACAAATATTTGTGTTTGCATCTGATTTTAGCATTTGTGGGATTACAAAATAGGTCATGGGGTTTGGAATAATCTGTAATGCTGATGTGGCTTTACGGGCAGCGGTCACTAACTGCAGCACTGTGATTAATTAAAGCAATGAAGTTCATTATGGTGATTTAGAGGGAGTTACAGGAAACTTACAGGAAACTTATTGATCATTATCCCTTAAATAACCTTAAAGTTTGTGTGTGTGTGTGTGTGTGTGTGTGTCTGTTAAGAGGTACTGTATGTACTGAGTAAAGAATTAAACATTAAAAATAAATAAATAAATAAACAAACATTATTTTCCTCTGGGTGTTTCGGTTTCCCCCACAATCCACAGACAGATGAACTGTGAGTTTGAGTGTAAAGCCCTGTTTCCACCGCAGGAACTTTCCCCATGAACTAGGGACTTTGGGCTGGTACTCGGTGTGTCTGCACCGCAGGAACCAGGATCTAATGGCGCTTTTCCACTGCGTGGTACGACTCGGCACGGCTCGGCACGGCACGGCACGGCACGGCACGGCTCGGCATGGCTCGGCTCGGTTGTGACGCAGGTAGTGACGATTCTCTCCGGCCAATCAGTGATCAGCAGAGTTTGCACGTCAGATTTTGGTAACGGTAACCTCAACCGAGGTGGTACTGAAAAAAGTACCAGGTACTGTACCCAGTGGAAAACCCCCCAAAAGTGAACCATACCGAACCGTACCATGCAGTGGAAAAGCGCCATAAATAAAATTCTGGGTAAAAATTTGCCCCTCAGAAAATCCCTGCTCGCAAGGTACTACTTTTTCAAAGGTCCGGAACTTTCGGGGGCGGGACTTGGGCGCTGAGCATGCTGATTGGTTGAGTTCACGCAGCATTGTATTTCATCCACCATATTTGCATATTTTTTAAAAAATATTACTGTTATTGTGTCATGAAATTTAGTTTTAAAAGTATTTCAGGCGAGAATGTAGTTGTTTAAAATCTGTGGTTTATTTATAAAGACAGCGCCTATTTGAAAATGTGCTTCACCGATTTCGGAGACGTGAGCTCCACGTGATCAGCGGGTGCTCAGTGCTCATGTTTCCCGACGAGAGCAGCCTCACCTTGGCTAGTCCTTCTGACATTTGCCCCTGGCTCTGATGTCTCTGTAGTGGTTAAACATAAGAGGTCATTCATTTTGGGTAAATTTAACAGGTAATCTTTGGTCTTTATTCTATTAATCTATTAATATGTTAAAATGAAAATGAAAAGAGGCAATACTGTTTGATATAATATTTTGTTTCATTGTAATGTATGTATGTTCCCTGAACTACATTTCTGCGGCTATTAATATGTTTAAATGAAACTGAAAAGAGGCAGTGGTGTTTGATATCATATTTCATCTTATTGCAAATACAGTGAGGAAAACTGCAGTAGCCGAGGTAAGCTGACTGATGTTATCAAGTCTAATGGCGCTTTTCCACTGCGTGGTACGATTTGGCTCGGCATGGCTCGGCTCGGTTCACACTCCCGAGTCGAACTCACGAAGTCCAAACTACCGAGGATGCAAGTCCGAAATTTGCATAGGCCTACTTGGAAATGAGAAACGCACGAAGACCTACATCACCAGACTATTTCACTAATATTCTCGATACTTTAGACCACGATGGAAATGCAGACAGCAACAGGTCTGAGGGAAAAAAAGTTTCTGGGACAAATGGTTCCAGGTAATTTCGGTGGAAAAGTGGCTTAAATGTTATGGAACAGAGCTCTGTGCAGGGTGTTTCTCTAGAATAGTATAGTTTGTGGAATTCACACCACTTGGTTTAGAACCTCACCTCAACTTGTATTAATTTTGATATTAATTCACTATTTTATAGCATTAACAAAATATCTTACATTCTAAGACAACAAAGTAACATTTTCTCTGTTAATGCTCTAGATCTTTATTCTGATCATTTCCTGATCTTTTTTTTTTCTGTTCAAACATAGAAACCTTGTCTGAAGGGGAAAAATACAAAAATATATAATACAATTAGTTAACTGATGAGTTAACGATGGCAACTTATGTTAAAAAGGTAGTATTCTTATAGCAGAAGCTATAAGAAATATTGGTAACACTTTAGATTAGGGAACACTATTCACTATTAACTAGTTGCTTATTAGCATGCCATGCATATTACTAGCATATTGGCTGTTTTTTAGTACTTATAAAGCACATATTATTGCCTTAATCTGCATGGCCATATTCAAAATCCTTCAATCCTACCCCATACATACATTTAACTATACAACAACTATCTTACTAATTATTAATAAGCAGTAAATTAGGA